GGAAAGCGAGAGGCCAAGACAATGGCCAGAAAGGAGCTTTAGATGAAGCCACACTGCACTTTTACTCCCACCAATAGGCTACTCCCTTGTGTGAATCAGCTGGTGCTTGATCAACTTTGACCGTTGGCTGAAGGCTTTTCCACAGGTAGTGCAGCTGTAGGGCTTCACTCCAGTGTGAATCCTTAGGTGCTGGATAAGGACTGAGCGCTGACTGAAGGATTTCCCACACTCACTGCACTTATAGGGTCTCTCACCAGTGTGGATGATCTGATGCTGGATAAGGTGTGAGCTCTGGCTAAAGCCTTTACCACATTCCACACATGTGTAGGGTTTCTCTCCAGTGTGAACTTTCTGGTGGTGAATGAGATTTGAACTTCGGTTGAAGGCTTTGCCACACTGATGACATTCATGGGGCTTTAATCCATTATGAATTCTCTGATGCTGAATAAGGGTTGAGCTCTGGCTGAAGGTTTTTCCACACTGGGTACATTCATAGGGTTTCTCTCCAGTGTGAACTCGCTGGTGAAGAATAAGGTTGGAGCTGCGGCCAAAGGTCTTCCCGCATTCACGGCACTCGTAGGGTTTGTCACCTGTGTGCACGCCCTGATGCTGGATGAGGGCAGAGCTGTGGCTGAAGGCCTTCCCGCAGATGCTACATTCATACGGCTTCTCTCCTGTGTGGATGATCTGGTGCTTTCTGAGCACTGAGCTATAACTAAAGGCTTTTCCACACACGTTACACACATGGGGCTTTTCTCCAGTGTGAATTCTCCGATGCTGAATAAGACTTGAGCTCTGACTAAATGCTTTTCCACAGTCACTGCACTTATAGGGTTTCTCTCCAGTGTGAACCCTGTGATGCTTAATAAGGTTTGATACACGACTGAATGGTTTGCTACAGTCATTGCACTCATAGGGTTTTTCTCCAGTGTGAACTCTCTGATGCTTCCTCAGGTGTGCACTCTGGCTAAATGCCTTCCCACACTCATTACACTCAAAAGGCTTCTCACCTGTGTGAATCCTGTGGTGTTTAATGAGGTTTGAGCTCCTCCTGAAGGCCCTCCCACACTCTTTGCACATGTACGGTTTCTCTCCAGAATGAATTCTTTGATGTTGGATGAGGTTTGAGCTCCGCCTAAAAGCCTTCCCACATTCATTGCATTCATAGGGTTTCTCACTCATGTGAGACTTCTGATGCTTTTTAAGGCTTGAGTTCTGGCTGAAGGCTTTTCCACATTCATTGCATACATATGGTTTCTCTCCACTGTGGTTGGTTTGATGCCTGACAAGGTTGGTATACACACTGAAGGCTTTCCCACACTCACTGCACTGGTAGGGTTTCTCACTCACGTGAGCTCTCTGATGATGTTTAGGAACTGAGTTTTGGCTGAAGGCCTTTGCACACTCACTACATACAGAGGACTTCTCTCCATGGTGGATTATCTGATGCTGAGTAAGACCAGGGCTTCTTCTGAAGGTTTTCCCACACTCACTACATATGTATGGGCTGTCGGCTGTGTAACCAGCCTCATGGGTAGTAAGGTCCATGCTGTGATGGAAGCTCTGGCCACACGTGCCATATAGACATGGCCTCTCTTCTGCAGGAATTCCTTGACATGCTATTGCCTTTGGGCTTAGACTGAAATACCTTCCCAAACCATGACAGTCCAGATCTTTCTCTCCTGCAGGGGTCTCTTTAAAAAGCACTGTGACAGGTGTGAAGTCCTCCTCCCATCTCTCACCTTCAGGGACACTCAAGTCTCCTTCTAGTATGTCATCACAGAGTTCTCCATGCTCAGGGATCTGGGAAGCATCACTGATGTGGTTTTCTGCTATTTCTGCCTCTGATTCCAAACCCTCAGAAATATCTTCAGTCTGAAGGAACTCGCTGTCCTCAGCCCTAGTGCGACAATCTGAAAGAATAAATATAAAGTCACTAGGAAACCACAGAAAGTGAGTATGCAGAGCTGTCTCAGTCTCTCACCTTCTGTGAAGAAAAGCAAGGGAAGCAGGGACCCCTGGGGTGGGGGAGGGGTGTCACTGGATTTTTGAGGGGACAAGGAAAGCTGCCAGATGATGAGGCTGCATGGGAGTTTAGGACTCTTGGTGGACCCTGACTCACCCTCCTAGGATTCCCTATCTCACGACATGCACCTGCAGTCTCCCTTCTGGCTCAGGCAAAAATCTCAGTAGCCTCTCAACCGCCCTTCTTCTCACACCGACAGCTAAGTCATCACCAAGTCTCGTTGGCTCTACCTTGGAATGTGCCAAATCCAGGTGTGCCTCAGCCCACCTGTCCCAATGGCACAAGGAAAAACAATATACCTTTTACACTGTCACATACTCTACCCTGCTTTTTTCTTTTCCATATAGCAAGCTGTAAGCTTCTCAGGCTATTCTTGTTCTCTTAGTGCCAACTGGAGGAGTTCTACCCTCAGCTGTACAGTCACCAGCGTGGAAAGGTTGCCCTCTGCTAGCAGGTGCAGAGGAGCAGAGCCAGTCCTGTAGTTTGGGGCTGAAATTTGCAAGGAAGTGCTGTCCAATCCCATACAGTGGGCGCTTGTATGACCCTCCAGGTTCTGTTTGACAGAGAAGTCTTCAGAGACTGGCTTTTTACCACCTAAACCTGCAATTCTCAGTGGAGTCTTGCACCAGAAACAATTTATACACTGGTGAGTCTGTGTTTCCAAAGAGAAAAGTATGTGTAAGGTGCCTCACCAAGTCAGAAAAAGGGCTTTGCACTTCACCCAACAATAGCACAATATACAATCTTTTTCAGTGAACATGGAACATTCTACAGAATAGATCATATGTTAGGCCACAAAGCAAGCCTCAAATTTAAAAACATCAATACACTGCAACATAACTCCTCAGATCATAATTCTATAAAAGTAGAAATCAATGCTAAGAAGATCAAAGAAATAAAAGCAAACACATGGAAACTGAACAACACCCAGTTTAAAAACTACTGGGTAAAAGAAGAAATAAAAATACTTTAAAATTCCTTGAATCAAGTAAGAATGAAAACACAACACATCAAAATCTGTGGGACACAGCAAAAGCTGTGCCCAGAGGGCAATTTATAGCAATAAATCCATACATCAAAAAGGAAGAACAAGCCAAAAGCAACACCTTAACCCAACATCTCCAATAATTAGAAAAGAACAGCAAAAAAAGCTTACAGTCACCAAAGAAAATAAATAAAGATTTGAAGAAAAAATAAATCAAACAGAAAAAAAAAAAAAATCAAAAGACTAGAAGTTGGTTCTTTGAAAAGATGAATAAAATTGTCAGATCACTGGCAAATTTAACAAAGAAAAAGAAGGAGAAGGTGCAAATAACACAAATAAGAAATGAAATGGTCAATGTCACAACAGAACCAACTGAAATAAAAAGGGTATCGGGATACTATGAAGAACTATATTGCAAAATATTTGAAATCCTACAAGAAATGGACAGATTTCTAGAAACACACCACTTACCTAAACTAACACACACTGAGGTAGAAAATTTGAACAGACCTGTAATAGAAGAAGAAACTGAACAGGTCATGAAAACAATACCAACACAAAAATGTTCTGGCCCAGATGTCTTCACTGGTGAATTCTACCAAACATTCAGAGAAGAGCCTACACCAATTCTATTCAAATCATTTGAGAATACAGAAAAGGAGGGAATACTCCCAAACTCATTTTATGAAGCAAACATAACCCTGATACCAAAGCCAGGCAAAGATACTATTAAAAAAGAAAATTATAGACACAATATCCCTCATGAACACCGATGCAAAAATTCTCAACAAAATCCTACTCAACAGACTCCAACAACCTACCCAGAAATAAAATACATCATGACTAAGTAGGATTCATACCAGATATGCGAGGATGGTTTAACATTAGAAAAACAATCAGTGTACCATCACATAAATAAAACAAAGGAAAAGAACCACACGATCACATCAACTGATGCAGAAAAGGTATTTGACAAAATTAAATACCCATTCCTGATAAAAATGGTGAACAAAAGGGAAATTCCCCAACATAATTAAGGGCATGCATACAAAACCAACAGCCAACATTATTCTTAATGGAGAGAGACAGAAAGCATTCCCCTTATGAATGGGTACCAGACAAGGATGCCCTTTATCACCACTCCTATTCAGTATCATTAATACTACATGCAAGTAAAATCTTGCCAAAGATAATTAAAAAACCAGTGTAGCAGTATACTGACAGGGAACTTCCAGAAATGCAAACTGGATTCAGAAGAGGACATGGAACGAAGGATATCATTGCTGATGTCAGATGGATCTTGGTTTAAAGTAAAGAATACCAGAAAGATATTTACTTGTTTCATTGACTATGCAAAAGCATTCAACTGTGTGGATCATAAAAAATTATGGATAACATTGAGAAGAATGGGAATTCTAGAACACTTAATTGTGCTCATGAGGAACCTGTACATAGACAGGCTGTTGTTCAAACGGAACAAGGGGATACTGCATGGCTTGAAATCAGGAAGGGAGTGTGACATACTTATTCAATCTGCATGCTGAACAAATAATCCCAGGAGCTGGACTATATCAAGAAGAACACAGCATCAGAATTGGAGGACTCATTAACAACCTGTGATATGCAGATGACACAACCTTGCTTGCTCAAAGTGAAGATGACTTGAAGCACTGATGAAGATTGAAGACTACAATCTGCAGTATGGATTACACCTCAATATAAAGAAAACGAAAATCCTCACAACTGGACCAAGCAGCATCGCGATAAATGGAGAACAGATTGAAGTTGTCAAAGATCTCATATAATTTGGTTCTACAATCAACACCCATGGAAGCAGCAGTCAAGAAATCAGACTTTGTATTGCACTGGGTAAATCTGCTGCAAAAGACCTCTTTCAAGTGTTGAAGAGCAAAGATGTCTCTTTGAAGACTAAGGCATGCGTAACTTAAGCCATGATGTTCTCAAGCGCCGCATACACATGTGAAAGCTGGACAATGAACAAGGAGGACCAAAGAAGAGTTGCTGTTTTTGAGTTGTGGCGTTGATGAAGAATACTGAAAGCCAGAAGAACAAATAAATTGTCCAGGACGAAGTGCAGCTGGAATGCTCCTTGGAAGCAAGAATGGCCGACTTCGTCTCACCTACTTTGGTCACACTGTCCGAAGGGACCATTCCCTGGAGAAGGATATCAGGCTTGGTAAAGTGGAGGGTCAGCAAAAAAAGAGAAAGCCCTCAAGGAGATGGAATGACACAGCGGCAACAATGATGGACTCAGGTACAGCAAGGATTATGAGGATGGTACAGAACCAGGCAGTATTCTGTTCTGCTGTACACGGGGTCGCTATGAATTGAAGCTGACTGGCAGCATCTTTTTTTTTTTTTAGCATTTTATTGAAATATAACCCATGTACATTGAAATACACAAAACTAAAGTGACATGGGGTCAATGCATTTTTTTTTTCCAGTGTTCTCTCCCCTCCACTCCCACCCCTGGCAACCAACAAAGAAAGTTTACCTCCATATATAAACCTTTCCTTGACCCTCCACAACAATGAACTAATACTCTATTTGTCCTTCTGTTATTGACTTATTTCACTCAGCATAATATCCTCCAAGTTCATCCATGTTATGTGGTGTTCTGCGGACTCTACATTATTCTTTAGTGCTACACGACATTCCATTGTGTGTATTTACTATAGTCTGGTCATCCAGTCTTCCATTGATGGACACATAGGTTGTTGCCATCTTTTTGCTATTGTAAATGGTGCTGCAATGAACATGGGTGTGCATGTATCTGTTCCTGTCCTGGCTTTCACCTCTCTAGGATATATACCTAGTAATGGGATTGCTGGGTCAAATGGTTTCTCCAATTCCAGCTTTCTAAGGAATCACCATACTGCTTTCCACTGTGGTTGTATCACTTCACAGTCCCACCAGCAGTGTATGATTGTCCCAATCTCTCATCCCCGTCTGCATTTGTTATTTTCTGTCTTGTTGAAACTTGCCATCAGTGCTGGGGTGAGATGATATCTCATTGTTGTTTTGATTTGCATCTCTCTGATGGCCAATGATCATGAGCATTTCTTCATGTATTTGCTGGCCACTGAATATCCTCCTGGTGAAGTGTATATTCATGTCATCTGCCCATTTTTCAATTGGATTGTTAATTCCTTTGCTGTTGAGGTGTTGGGAGTTTTCTTTAAATCTTAGAGATAAGTCCCTTGCCAGATATCGACAAGTATGACTCTGTTTTTTTGTTATATTCTTTTTCATGGTGTTGATTTCCTTGTTTCATTTAATTTTCTGTGCTGAGCTCATTTTGTTTATGAATTG